TCCTGACACTTGTTCAAGCCATTTCCGTGCACGCCTCAGTAATGAGTCTGCAATCGCACCAACACGCCTTCTTTTGATTCCATTTAACACAAATACATCCGTATATCCTACTTAGGGTGTTGAAGTAGATTGAACTGAGCACAACAAACAACGACCTTCAATGCTCAATAGAATCAGTTCTTTTAGGATAAGAAAGAATAAATGCATGGAGTCACAACTTGGATCATTTCCCCTGGCAGAGTCTGATTGGTTCGCTTTGAGAAATCAGTGCGGGCAGTGTTCAGAGGAAACCAAGTTTGAGAGTATTTGAGCCTTTTTGACAAAGCTTTTTAATATGTCTTAATGGAATGAATGGTGCCACTAAATTGTATTGTTCTGCAAAATAACAGTCTGTTGCAAGACTTTCATTATATGGAAAGCTAAATCTTCCATCCATCTACTTCTCCAGTGATGGTTAAATCTCCCTGGAGAAAGGAGAATAAAACACACTGGTGAAAGGAGGATATTTCATTTGTATATAATTACAGAACATTTCGCAGAGTGCTGCATAAAGCAATCAGGAATCACTCCTCAAAGTTGGCAAGGACAGAAAGAAAAATGTTTCTTGTGTCTGAATATTTTATTTGGACTTTTTTCATTGGTAAAAAGCTTTTGTCTGCCCTTTGCCAAGTGGAGATTGTTGTATCACTGCCAGTCAGGTTTGGAATTCTCTGGATGGGGATTGAAGATGAGAACAGTCGCAGCTGAAAAATGGCTGCAACTCCATGGAGTCATGCAACTGCTGCCAGAGTAGACTGCTTCATTTTTCTGGCTTTAGCTTCAAATTAGATCAGGCATCAGAAACGACCTTCAGATATCAGCCGAGCCAATATGCTGACTAGGATGCATGGGAGAAAAAGGCCAGTGATTAAGATTTATGGAGTGCTGCGGGTGTCAGGAGTGATACGTGTCTCATCAACGGTGAAATGAAATGTCAAATTAAATATGTGTGTGGGCGTGTGTGAGAAGATCGAATGGCTGTTTGTACACTGAGACAGAGAGACGAAGACTTTCGCATCCAATAACAGACAAAATGAGAGAATGAGAGGGAAGAGCGGGTGTCAAACAGGGTGCTTATAGTGCAGAACACTAATAAGGAGCGCGTCAGCAGGACGGCGGCGGCAGATCTATTCTCCTTGGGGCTCCATCTTGGCAGCACCTGTTATAAACTTTCTCTGCCGTCTTGCACAATTGGTTCTGTAATTTAAAAAGGTCAGCATGGCTCTTGTGTAATTCAATACTCTCATGGTGCTGTATTAACCACATATTTAATCACCCTCAGGGTGGTGTGCGAGCTGAATACTTAACAGTAAAAGAGAAGAGGTAAAACCCACAGTTCAGCTCAGTACCCATCGCTCCCACCTGATATCTGTGACTCGTGATATGTAGGAGGAGAAGCTGCTTATCCATGAGTACCGCTCTGTGTTTATACTCCAGTGGAAAATGAAACCTGCAAAACTGAATGTGCAATGCAAAGTCACTTCCCCAAGAGTCTTCATTGGAATAGCCAATGCTCACCCAAATGGATGTAAGGTCACTCTACCATATAAGGCTATCCCCACCTGCTACATGTTCCAAACGTATGCCTAATGGAAGCATCCTCACTTCTGCCCCTAGGAGGGAGAGAAGGAAACGTGTGTGTGCATGGCAATGTGGGCTTCTTATTGTGTATGTGAGACAAAGATAGTCTGCATCGATTCCACCTTGGGTTTCTTGGAGACAGATTTAAGTGTCTAAGCATGTGTGTGGTATCTGCATGTACCAATCATAATAAAAAGTGAGAGGCGGTTACTCTTTTCTGAGAGAATGCTATGACTCTAATCGTGACCCTGCAAGCCTATGTGTACCCTAACTCAGGGGGCACAACATCGTTTCCACCTTTATATGACCTAAAACTTAAAAAGATCTGTAATATAATATGTAATCATACATTTTAAATTGCTTTTATTATTTAAATAAGGCGTTCAATCAGTCCCCGGCTGTCAGCAGCTAAACCCCAGCACCAGGGGCGTGTCCAGACTTTTTTGACCTGGGTGGCCCAACAGGAGCACGGACTTATACAGGGGTGGCATGAAGGGTGATGTGTGCACAAGCTCATTAAAATAAATATAAATTATTAACCCTTTCTAACCTCCCCAAACATGTCTACGTTTAGAACACAAGATGATGGCAATATGACATTTGACAAGATGTTTGGGGGGGTTGCACCTGGAGTGGTCAATCACATTTCTAGGGTGGCCCATGCCACCCCAGGCCACCCCTCTGGACAGGACCCTGCACAGCACATAAACACAAACTTTGGCCACATATATTGAGGCTAGGATGGGTTGATATGCATCACAGACATGAGAGTGTTTTTTGTTTTGATTTTTAAATCTGGATTAGCTGCTCTCAATGGCTCGATCTAAGAGGGAGACTTTGATATAAATGGTGAAAGTTGCATCACATCTGTAAAGACATGACTTCATGATAAATTAGTAAGATGTGTTCCATTTCATAAGCTTCGATTATAAGCTTGATAAATGGGGATATTAGCTGTCGTATCCATTCTTACTGAATCCCTCCTGTAAGTATTGGCAATGGATATATAAGGTGCATAAATGGCCAGGATACAAACGTATTACTCAGTAACCTGAGTGTGTTAACGGTGTACCTATAAAAACCCAGATGAAGAAAATGCAGCTGAAAAAAGGGAACAGGGAGTTATTGCTTTTGGACCTGGAGGTATTTACTCTAAGGACAGAAATTAAAAGAGCTCTCTGTCTGCGGGTATGCAGAGAAATCAAATCAAAGTGATAAGTCTATATTTCTCTCTCATGAGACACAATGATAGGAAGACACACCGTCCTTGCATTTTCCGACTTTCCTATACGTATAGATTTTTTTCCGACAGTAACTTTTCAATCATGACACATTTTCAGACGTATAATTCACAACCTAGATGTGACATCGCTCTCTCTGGTTTGGGTGAATTGTCACTGAAGCTGAAAACCGTGCTTGAGGCATCAGATGTCTTACATAAGATGAAATCCTTTTTTTTCTTTTAAACTCCAACACACTTGTTGAGATGTCATTCTGCACTTTAAATTCTTGAGGGTATCAACCTTTCTTTCTTCTCAGCTGTAACTAGAGCAGAATATGAGACGCAGGCAACAAATGATAAGGAAAGCCCTTTGGTTAGAAAGCTCTGACGCCATCAGAGTTTTAAGCAGAAGTGTCAGTTACACAAAGTGCTGAATTCAATCTTAAAATAGCTCTTAATGCTGCCAGTCGAAGGGATATGATTGAGAGTTTTTTTTTTTTACCAAGATAGAGAACTCTCACCCTTGCACACACATGCTCAAACACACATGCTCACACACACACACCATTAAATCAGAGTATAGGGAGCCACACATTGCCCTACACTTGACAAGTAAATTGCTTCCTAGATTGTGTTGGCAGAAGAGAATACGGAGAGAAAGAAGTTGGTAACATGAACATGGTTAAAGAAAATGAATGAGAGGTGAAAGGCAATAGAATGAATCGAAGCAGCCAGAATAAGTAGATAACAGAGAGCAGCGAGTGTGAAATGGTCTGCTAAGCAGGATAGCATTGGACCTGTCCCCCTGTCTGACGAGAACTGGGTGGGAACGAGGAGAAATCAACACGGTGTAACTGAGATGACTGTCACACGTGGTGACAATAAAGCCTATAGGTGTTTCTCTTATCTCTGACAGAGAGACATTTCAGCAGGGCAGGAGATGGGAGACTTCACTCCTTGTAACACATTTTGTAGATTGTCCAACAAAGCCGTGGGAACACAAGAACAACTGAAACAAGAGCTGAAGGACATGGAAAAGTCTGGAACAATGCAGATTGTGTTTGAGCAAAAAAAAAGTTTATCTTGCCACCAATTTCCACCTTCATAAGAACACACATTGAGATCTTGCTGTGCAGAGTCAGAAGCTACTTTTCTTTCATTGTACCACAAGGTTCTCTTTTTTTATAATTAGAGATGTTTGAAAGATCTTAAATTCAGTCATGAATGTATTATTGAACCACAGGGTGCTTCAATAATACATTTCAGACTCAATGCCTCAGTAACCTGAACCGAAACAGCTAATCTCTAATCCTTACAAAAACCCTCCTCATGTCAGTATTGATCTCAATGCTTCCTTGAAAAAAAGTTCTTTGTTTGCAAGAGGTAGAAGAGTCAAGTTTAGGATACTTAGATTTTGCCACACCACTGACTTCAGAGTGAATTCCTGCACGTCTAGTTAAGCTACAGGATAACCCAGCAGAGTTTCTCGCGCCTGCATCATGATTGGATGAGGTAAAGGTTTTGTTCAAATGTATTTTTTGTACATCATCAACTCAAATGTGGACAAAGAAATGCAGATTTCAGACACCAGTGCAATCATTCTTACTAATATGACATGATTGCTGTCTGGCCAGCATGATATCACAGTTAGATTTAACAATACTCGTAACTTTATATTAACAAATATCCTACCTGCGGTCCAATAGTTCTGTTTTTCAAATCCTTATCTGAATATCCAGGAGAATATCACAGCATTTGTTTCTCAGACAAAGGGTACAACCTTGAAAGAAATCCTTAAAGTAATCAGAAATGGATGCACAAGTTGTTTTAAAAATACAGGCTGTGATTCCTAAGAGGTCAGTTGTCTAAGCTAATCTATTTTTACAATCTTAAACCAGAGAGGAGAAAAGTTGCTGATGTGTGCTTATGAACTATGTTGCAGCCCTGGTGCCCAAAGGTGATGTAGCTCCTCAAAGTACTGGCGCTGCAGAGTTTCATCGCGGTAATAAATCATTAAAGCGAGTTCAAAGGTGTCAAGCATGTAAGAGTCGGACAGTAGATCAGGCTGACAGACACACAATGATGATACAGGCGGACCATGAAGTGTTCACCACTGATGCAACGACAAACCAGTGCAGAGAAATATGGTCAATCTTACCTGGGACTACCGGAACCTCTTCAGCCTGAGCCAGCCTGAGCAGAACCATCATGAGGAGGGGTGTGGCCCCTGACCACGTGCCACGCATTATGATGCTCACAGTCCTGGCATCACTAGGCGGCAACCTGGAGAAAGAGGTAAAAGGTGTTTAAGTGTTATTGTGATGCAGGGACATTCCTCTTTTCACCTGGACACAAAAGAAAATGTAATTTATCGTGCAAATGAATAATTAAACGCCAGTGTGCAAGAGTAAACAACAATTTCTGCAAAGCATGACCGCAATACATTAAACACCCCTCTAACAGCACTACTACAGCATAGTGAATAGAAAATGGCTAACAATTATCTATTGACTTCCTTTATGTTGTAATAGGATGTTAGTTGAATCCATTATTTTAAATCCCGAGAGGATTCATTCTTTGAATGTTAAGAAGATTGAAAATCGACTCTCTCCAATGCTAAACTCTTACTCAGTCCTTCCTTTTGTTCGCAAACAAAACACACACACACACACACACACACACACAGAACAAATGCCTGTGTGTGTGTCAAATTGATTTCAGACGGGTGAGACAAAGGCGTCAGAGTTTAGTGGTGTGTGCAAGACAATGCCGCCATGCTGACATCACCTGCACGGCGGTGACAGGGACCGTCTGTAGCATGGAAATAAATCGGAGGATTCCTTGGATCAGCCATCTGTGGAACAACCTGTTCACCCTTGTTTGATTACATCCTGCAGTCCGGGCGGATTCAACCGCTCCTGGTCTTTCTCTCGGTATCTCTCGCTCTCGTTCACACTTCTCTCTCTCTCTCTCTCTCTCTCTCTCTCTCTCTGCACTGCTACGCTGTGTGATTTTCTCTTTGGGGGCCCTTTTTCCCCGGCATGACATACTTCTTAAATTGGATATGCTTCAGCTAAAATATGATGGACCTGCTTTATCAGGAATTTCCAAGGCACTACAGTAGTGGTTGAGTCTCTTCAAGCCTGGCATCTTTTCAGATCATGTAAAGAATCATTAAATCATTTCTTGACAGTAAAGATGTGAATAGGCGGTCATGAAAAGGAGAAAACACCTTAGCTAGGGGAAGCTACCTAAGCTCTCAATACTACTTGTTTTACAGCTAGGGGAAGCTACCTATGTAAGTTCTCAATACCCTTTTTTTTTTTTTAACAGGGTCACATGGGATATATGTTCCCTTCTATGTCTGACCTGTCAATATATTTAAAGGTAATCAACCTTGTTATTGTTATTTGACTTGGAGGACTACTAAACTCCAGAATTGCTGAATCTGAAACTCCCAACTCTAAAGACTCACAGACTTTGAGGAGCTTTCCCAGTGAGTGTGGGAGTGCTTGTGCTCTGTCAAAGTGCATGAGCGCTCTGACGCAAACATTTTTAAGGCAAATTACACACTTTACAGACAAATTACAGACTTTCCTGTGGGTCTTCCCCAGAGTTCATTGCGAGCTTGGTGTTGTGTAAGACGTGATCTTCCACTCATGTTGTATATTGAAGCAGTAATCAATAAAATGTGTTGCCTTCTTCATAACTTTTCAGCTTATTAATATCACATTTGTAGCTTTGTGTGTTTTTTTATTAATATTGGTGTTTTTCTTTTTAAGTTTGATAGTTTTCTTAAAACTTTCAACTCTAACTAATGAAAGAAATACAAAAGAAAGAACTGGAGGTGGGCTTTTTGTCTTAAAATATAATTGTGCATCTTGTTTCCAGGCGAGAGGATTGTGTGTCCCAGTACTCGTTTTTTTTTTTACCATCTCGAGCCCTCACGGAGTCACTCACTGACTCACCTGAGGCCACTCCAGTCCGTGATGTTGCTGAAGTAAGCGCTTGGGCTTCTTCTGTGGTACCTTTCTATAAAACCCTTCTGCCCCCTCTCTCTGTCCTTTATTTACAGTCTATGTAGGATGGGTGGGTGTAACTTGTTTAAGCCCTCATGTTGACCCAATCCATTTAATTTTAGCTAGAGTGGGAAGTAAAAATGACCTGAAGGTTCTGTTTCACTGTTTATTGTTGCTTAACACGACAAACGATTTCATGTTTTTCCTTTTTCTCTCCTTAAAACAAATGTTACCATAAAGAGTTCCAGGTATCATGGCATTATTCATCCACACATTACACAGTCACAAGTTAAATATGACAAACTTCCATTCCTTTTTAATTCACACAACTAAATGGATTTTTAGTGGCGCTTTCTTTTCTTGTCTCCGTCTCTTGCCACTCTCTTGAAAGGCGAGGAAGGCGGCGCAGGCATACTAATTTACACTCATACCTTTCTCTCCCATCTTATCTCCGGGTACTCAGTGGACACGCCTGCCCCCCTTTTATATGCATTTCATGTTCCCAGAATTAGAAGAGCCTCTTAAAGATGTCAGTCAGGTCTAAACCATGGGGAGCTCATTGTTGCAGGGTGTGTTATCATAACCTTTCATTGCTCCAGAGCCAAAGAAGAGCCGAAGAATTATGTGTTCTATTTGCACAATTGCGTCATTTGCATTTGATGATAGGACCGTATTCCCTGCAAAAAGTCAGATTAAGTAGTCCCTGTAGTTAGACCGGAAGATTCCAGTGTTTTTTATCAAACAGGGTGAATGTGAACCAGTTGCACGCCAGTATCCTGGAGCAGCAGCGGACTAGGTTCCTTCATTTTTCTTGATAATTGTGTCAGATAAGCACCGCATCATCCTCTTGCAGGCAATCTGATAAATACCCAATTACCAGTCAGGAGATTGCTGTGACAAGCAACCACACAAGGGGTCTTCGGTTTCGGGAATGGGGGAAATATGGCATTGAAATGGCCTCCTAAACGCAAAAGGATCTGGACTCGTAATTCAACTCATCACCCTGTCCCATTTGATTAATGAATGGATGGCTTAGCGATTAAAGAAGATTCATTCGAGCCCTCCTTTTCTAGAAAACCGCAAATATGTTACACGAAGATGCATCAAAGCCCAATCAATGACTATTCCTCTCTCAAGTCAAAGGAAATGAGCATGTTTTACAAGACTTGTCTCGGTGGCTTCCTCTGCATTCACTACCAATTCAGTCCGAGAGGAATGAAAGGCCCTTATTGTCTCTCTTTATCTGACTCAATGACTGCTGAATGGATTGAAGCCAATTAATCAGGGCAGTGACAAGAAGCATTGCTGCTGGCTCAGTGACCGACTACCACAAAAGACAGGAACCATCAGCAGAACAGTCACTGCCCACAAATTGATTTTCTGATGCCGGATTAAACCGAAGCGATGTCATTCAAATCCTGTGGTTTCTCATCCTGACACTTCCACATGACCCAAGCACTAAAAACCCAACAGAGATGAGGCTATTGGGGATGACTTATCATTGTCAGCATGGACTAACGAACACATAGCTTTACTCAGATGCACTAATGAGATTAACAGTTCTTACAGTACGCTTGAACCCGGACAAAGTTCAGGTGAAGTGTTTAAAAGACGACTTTGAAGGTAACTTCAGGGAAGATAGTTGAAGGCCTCTGAGAGTACGAATGAACTTGAAATTACCTCTGACTGGCACCTCTACTCCTGACTGCCTGATCTGTTTCTCTTTCATCTCCCACTTTTGTGCTTTTGAATCAAACTGCCCGTTCTCACACTGGCAGACTAGGTGTGAGGAGGAGGAAAAGGCTCAAACATGAGGATGGAGCATAGAAGACAGGAATACAAATACAGTGGGTATAAACATGCAAACTAGTATTTACAAAAAAGGACAACTTCTTATAGCGCAAGTTTACATTCTTATGCATTCTGATCGAACTTCTTCGCCATAAAATCAGATTTTTTGATGTATATAATGTCCAGTCTATGGGTGAATTCATAGACTGAAATAACGTTTTTGGTGGTACAATAGTGTTGTTGTGGACTGTATAAGAATGAGGTCTGTCTAATATTTCCTGCAAAAAACTGAGAATCAAATATGAAGGTCATGTAGCCAGTACGACTTACTGTTAACTATCACCTCAACAATAATCATAAAATCAAACTTCCTAATTAAGAAAGAACAGTATTAACTTACAGGATGTATTTATTGCAGTGCTGCTGTATTATAGTACATTATTTAGAGGTATTGTGACCTCATTATAACCTTTGTATTCTTAATCATTTGAGACAGAAAATTAACACTGCTGAAGAAAACTTTAATGAAATACTTAATGTAAAATGTATCCTTCCCTCACGCAAGTATTTCAGGTTTTCTCAAGAATTGTTGACAATTAAGTCTTGTTAAAAAATGTGTCACTCCTTTTTTCTTTCTGAATGCTCTTGGGGCATTCACGTCAGTATCTGATGGAGCCAACCTACAAGCTATTTAAAACCTGTCTAACTGTAATTGATATTTTTATTCTCATAGCTGGGCACACCATGAAAAGGCCCTGTCTGTATGATACTTATAAAGTGAAATTCCTTTTTTTACACTGCCCATTGTTTCTGTGTTTTTCTCTGCTGCATTAAAACACAACCACTTCTCTTCAGGTTCGATGCAGCCAAAACTGCATTTTTATGCTCGACTAGTCCTCACCCACCCACAAGAGAGTCAAGAGTTTTGTGCAATTTAAGTTCAGTGTCAACTACAAAGTTTTAGACTCTGGAACACTGCATTAACGTGTGCCTCTGTACGTTTCAAGAGTCTTTTAAAACACAGCGCTGGAGAATTCAAACAAACAGGAGCAGGTACAGGGGATTAAACACTCTATACCATGAATCATTGGCTGCAGTTCAATGAAGTAGCAAATTGTTTCATCTATTGCAATATACTCTCTTAATAAGGGATTCAGATGAGGACAAAGATGCATTATTAGCTCTGTGGGACAAGGTTCCAGCTGTTTGGAAATCCATTACTAATGTATAGGTATACTAACTTCTAAGTAATTGCCGGCATATTTCAAATACTGGTGTTGTGCCATTAAAACATATTACTTTTTTTGCTTGGAAGTTCTTATGTGTAACTCTGTGGTTCTATAGAACAACAGACGTCACTATAGAGGCATATTTAACAGTCTAAGGTGCCAGATAATTTATTGCTGTTGATTATTTATAAATCTAAGTGTTTTAATCTGTGCTACATCTGAAAGAATTTATATGAGAAATATC